TGTGCACCCGTGTGTGGGGTGGTCATATGTGTGTGCAGACATTTGTGCGAGCCAGAGGGTGACCTCAGTGAGTCCTTCGGTTCCTCTCCACTTCCTTAATTTGAGGGTGTAGGGGAGGAGGGTGTTGAGATGGTTTCTCTTTGTACCCTTGGCAGCTCTGTAGTCCAGGTTGGCCTTGAACTCACAGAGCTCCCCCGTCTCTGCCTCCCAAGTGCTGTGATTAAAGGTGTGCGCCACTGCCCAGCTTGATTCCGTTGTTTTTAATGGGTATATGTACAGACCCTGTTGGAAGTTGGAGGCACTGGGGTCACCAGCACAGGCTGCCAGGCCTGGCTTCTTCCACAGACTCTGGAATGGATTTCAGGTCATGTTTGTGCTGAGTCAACTCTCTGGACTCTTTGGCTGTGATGACATAACTTTCAGGGCTCCCTCTCCGTGGCATGCTGGGGTCCTGGGGTCCCAGCTTCACCATGTGAATTCTGGGGATACAGGGTACAGCTCACAGGCAGCTACAACCTTTCTGACAGGCCCTCGGGGAAGGGAGCATCTCTCACCATCACTCAGGGTCACCCACAAGCTCCCCAGTCCAGGGACAGCCTCGCGACTATGACTGTTAAATCCCCCACACACCGCCAGGTGGCAACATGAACAACTCCCTCGCCATCCTAAGGTCCTAAGGTGCCAAGGCTGGGGCACCCAGCGTGAGAGTTCACTTGGGAACAGTTTCCTGGGTCACCTTACAGAGCAGGAAGCGTTAAAGGGGTGTGGGTACCCCCTCCAGCAGGCCCAAGAAAGCCTCATCCAGCAGGGATAGGGCCCCTCTCCTTAGTCCTCAGCCCCTAGACTCCAGTCTCTTCTAAACTTGGCCACATCTAAGGCCGAGTTGCATACACCAGGTACCAGGGAGTGGCTGGGGACTCAGGCGAGGGCTTGTGACCCCTTTCCCTCCAGGGCAGGTAGAAACAGTTCAGAGGCCCAGCCAGGATGATCCCCTTACCCCCTCACCCTCCACGCTCCCGCCCTGGAAGGTGGGGGCTTGGGCCCTGCAGAGGCACATGGGACTTTCCTTCAGGGTCCCTCTGCCCAGCAGGATCCGCGAAGTCTGGAGAAAAAGGGCCTCGGGCCTTGTTCACACGTCATAGACATGACATGGTGTCCTCATGCACCATGCAGGCAAATGCAAGCCCCTGCGTGTGAATCCGTGAGTGTGAACACAGGCTCAAGTGCGTAGAGTGTATTGTGGGAGTGTGAACGAGGCCAGTGTCTGGGACAGCGAACGGAGGCTTCTGGGGCTTGAGAAGGGGCAGCAGGGCCCAGCGGAAGGGGCTGGTGATGCCTGCCTATCCTGGGGGACCCATGCTTTTTTTTTTCTCTGTTTAAAATGGCGACAATTACAGTGTCTCATTTCACAGGAACCCTATTATCCTTTGACTCCCCTGGCCCATCTTGGGTCAGACTAGTCCTTGGAGTAGCCCTGCGTGAGGCAACAGAGCTCTGGGGAGGGACACTGGTATAGGGACCCTGAAGAACGGAAAGGTCTTCATTACTACTGCCTCTCCTTGTGTGGGCCAGTGGACGAAGGGATGCTGGGCGTGAGGCTGGGTCAGACCAGCACGAAGGTGGAAAAAGGGGAGAGGGAATATGTTTTATGGGTTTGGGGGCCTGCAGCTGTCACAGGCTGCCCGAACCTCTCACCTGTCCCTCCACAGCAGCACGCCAACCTGGTGATGACCCAGGACCCCTACAAAGTGACCACTTTTGGGAAGCCATACGCAGTGGCCATGCAGTATCTGTGGCGCGATGCGGGCATCCGCGCCTGCTACGAGCGCAGGCGTGAATTCCACCTGCTGGACTCCGCGATGTAGTGAGTCTGGGGCCTGTGGGCGGGGGACCGTGGAAGGTGTAGCTGCGGGGGAGGGGTCACGGGAGCGTGGCATGGGGTGTGGTCGCGGAAGGGACAGGCCAGGGAGGGAAGGGGTCTGCGAGGGGGTGCCCGGGCTTGGGGTAGATTCTCAGGATGTGTAACCAGAATGGGAAGGGACCAGGGTGGGTGGGTTCACGGAGGGGAGAGATTAGAGAGAGGGTGAGTGGCAGCTGTCTGACTCCGCCCAGCACTCTGAACTTTCCAAGAAATGGCCAGCGCAGATGCCTGACCCCGTCGGCTCAGTGTCCTCCCGGAGCCTTAGGCAGCATGTGACATCCAAGGTGTTGATGGAGGAAACACCGGCTGGGGCTTTCAGGGGTCTCCTGCCCCAGCTGCGTCTTGGCGTCAGCTGCCCGTGGCAAGGCTCAGTCTCATGGGTCTATTTCCACAGCTACCTGTCACGTCTGGAGCGCATCTCCGAGGACAGCTACATCCCTACGGCGCAGGACGTGTTGCGCAGTCGCATGCCCACCACAGGCATCAACGAGTATTGCTTCTCTGTGCAGAAAACCAAGTTGCGGTTAGCACCCAGCAGAGGCCTGGCTTTGGGGGTGGGATCCTCGTGTGGGAGGAACAAAGAAGCTGGCGCCTTGAGGGATGAATGGATGGATAGATGGATGGATGGGTGGGTGGACAGATGGATGGGAGGATGGATGGACGGATGGGTGGGTGGGTGGATGGATAGATGGGTGGATGGACGGACAGACGGATGGACGGATGGGTGGGTGAATGGATGGGTGGGTGGGTGGGTGGGTGGGTGGGTGGATGGGTGGATGGGTGGGTGGATGGATGGATGGGTGGATGGATGGATGGGTGGGTGGATGAATGGGTGCATGGGTGGATGGGTGCATGGGTGGATGGGTGGGTGGATGGATGGGTGGATGGGTGCATGGGTGGGAGTTCTGTGATTGCTGAGAGCTGATGCCCAACTTGGCAACACATGGGAACCAGAGCTAACTTGTGATCTTTCTTTGAGGGATGATCCAGCATTCTTAGTCTGGCATAGAAACTCACAAATGATCTGGTGGCTCCCAGTGACCTGGGTGCAGTTTACAGAAGTGATGTCAGAAGTCTGTTGCTATCTGTCTGCATGTTCCCAGTTGTGTGTCTGTGTGTTTGTCCGTGTCTCTGTGTGTGAGAATTCATATGTGCATGTGTATGAGTGTGTGTGTCTGTGAGAACATGTGTATGTATTTCTCTCTCTCTCTCTCTGTCTCTCTCTCTCTCTCGTGTGTGTGTGTGTGTGTGTGTGTGTGTGTGTGTGTGTGTGTGTTTAGAGGCAGGTCCTCTCTGTATTTTTAGGCTAGTCTCAAGCTCAGAGCTCCTTCTACTCTGCCTCCTCAGTGCTGAGGTGTGCCACCTTTGAGGGACACTACTTATTCTGGAAAGGTGATTGTGGGTCTTTGAGACCTGTGACTAAAATTTCAGATTTGTAGATGAAGGAACCCTCTCAACTCCAAGTGCTGAGCCTGCCTCAGTTTCCCCCTCTGTGTCCTCCTTTCTCTGAGGACTCTGTTAGTGTCATAGTATGTCTGCCATCGACAGTCAGATCTACATCAGTGACCCAGTTTCTGAGAAGCCACAGGAAGGGGTGATGGTCCCCGCTTCTGTTGTGGTTTTATAAGAGAGGGTGTGCCCTCCTGAGTTACAGAGGAGTCACATCCATTCTGGGAATCAGCAGAGGATACAGTGGCCCATTCTTCTGCTGCGAAAACCAAGTCTGAGGAGGCGTGACCAGAGCCACAGCCTTCGGCCGGCACCTGTGCTAAAGGCAGAGTCCAGACAGTGTCATCCCTTGGACCCTCAACTCAAGATTCTTCTGTCTCACACATTCCTAGTACCGAATAATCACATTTTTAATTATGTGTGCATGTGGAGGCCAGCAGGAATTCTGCACGTGAGTGCAGTGCCCACAGAGGCCGAAAGGGGGCACCACAGACTCCAATTGTGAGCTGCCACTGCCCTGTGGGTGCTGGGAAACCCGGGTCCTCTGCAGGGACAGCCAGTGTGCTAACCGCTGAGCTGTCCCTCCTGCCCCCAAGTACCTGTGTCATAGAGAACACGCAGGCCTATTCCAAGGAAGAACTTTCTGCAATTTGTGTGTGTGTGTGTGTGTGTGTGTGCACATGCGTGTGTGTGTGAGGCCAGAGGTTGGGATCAGGTTTCTCACTCGTTCTCACCTTACCTTGGCAGACAGGGTCTCCCGAGGAGCCTAAAGCTCAGCTACCCAGCCAGTCCCAGCATCCTCTTCTCTCAGCCTCTCTTCCCATTGGTGATTACAGATGCACGCTGGAAATCCAAAATCACACCCATTGCTCGCCTAACAAGCGGTTTCGCCATGGGGCTGACTCCCTAGCCTGAGCTTTCTACTCTCTCTCTCTCTCTCTCTCCATATATATATGCGGTGGACCTCATTCTGTAGTTCAGGCTGGCCTTAGACTCACTCTGTAGGCCACCCTCACACTTACAGCAATCCTCCTGCCTCAGCTTCATGAGCACAGTGTGACAGGCATACAGCAGGCCACACCGTTCTCGTGACTCTGGTGAGGCTGAGTCTACGATGCTGGTGAGCAGGGACTAGGTCACACGACCTCTCAATAGTGGGGTTTCTTTGTTTCTCTGTAGCATCGTGGATGTTGGTGGCCAGAAGTCGGAGCGTAAGAAATGGATCCACTGTTTTGAGAACGTCATAGCCCTCATCTACCTGGCTTCCTTGAGCGAGTACGACCAGTGCTTGGAGGAGAACGATCAGGAGGTGAGGCATGGTGCCTTTGGGGGTCAGCCCCCCCCATCTGGGCGGGAAGCCCTACAGGAAGCCTGGGCAAGAGCCCCTTAACCCTTCACCTTTTGCTCTGGTCCATGTGGGACCTGGTCCCTAAAGCTACCTCAGCACACACAGGTCTCCCAACCTCTGCTGACCCTGCCAGATTTACCGACTGCCACACCTATGCAAGGATGGGCAGCTGTGGCCAGGTGGCATTATACCCTAAGTCACACAAGGGGATAAAACCTCTGTGGGTCACCGTGGACCCCAGTCCTGCTGATGGATGGGCCCTGTGTGGCTCGACATGGAAACCATCTTCTGGGAGAATGGTTCAGTGTCTCCATTGCAAGGATGGCTCAATGTACCCCTCCCTCTGCTTCCCCCATGTCTCTCTCTCTCTCTCTCTCTCTCTCTCTCACACACACACACACACACACACACACACACGTGCGCGCACGCGCACACACACACACACACACACACACACCTTCACACACAGGCTTGGCTCTCACTCCCAGTCCTCCCAGCTCATCCTCCTTAATGCTGAATTAATGGGCCTTGGCTTCTTCAGCAGCCACACAGGATATACTAAGGTCTTGAGGCCACTGTGATCAAACAGAACAGCTCAGGTGACCTAAAATGCAGACATCCAGTTCTTATCTAGTTCTGGGAGATGGGAGCATGAGACCATGGTGTGGAAAGGGCTGCCACGCTCCCAGACCCAGGTTCCTCTCAGTGTCTGGTGTCCTTGGCTCAGGAGCTCAGCCTCCTGTGTGCCTCCGTTTTCAGACAGAGTCCCCTATGTGAGGACACCTGTCATTGAATTCAATGGCTCTCTGGTGACTTGTGGCTTCTTCCCCTTGGCCAATCACACCCGAGAAGGCCTTCTCAGGTATTTTCACGCTAGCGGTCCAATCAGATGTCATGTTGGGAAGGGTGCCCTCAACTCAGAATGTTAGGTAACAGGGTACTTAGGTTCAGCCCTTTACACTCAGAGACACCAAGTCTTCGTTGCCTGGTGGGCGAGGGCATCCTTCTGGGGCCACCGCCTGCCTCTGTCCCCACAGAACCGCATGAAGGAGAGCCTGGCACTGTTCAGCACAATTCTAGAACTGCCCTGGTTCAAGAGCACCTCAGTCATCCTCTTCCTCAACAAGACAGACATCCTGGAGGAGAAGATCCACACCTCACACCTGGCCACATATTTCCCCAGCTTCCAGGGTGAGTTGTCCTAGAACATGCTACACCCTCCACCTCCCCAAAGCAGCTCTGCGGGGAGACTCAAGGCTGGGCCCTTATCCAGAGTCATCAGAAGTTTCAAAGAGAAAAGGGACATGGGTTACCAGCTAAGCTGCTTCTGGTAGTTTATGAGCCTCAGTTTCTCTCTCTGTGGAATGGAGAGTCAGGTGACCCCTTAGCAGACGAATGACGGGGGCCGCACACCCTTAATCCCAGCACTCAGGAGGCAGAGGCAGGCGGATCCTTGTGTGTCAGCCAGCCTGGTCTATAGAATGAGTTCCAGGACAGCCAGAGTTACGCAGAGAAACCGCGTCTCGTCTCGGAAAACAAGAAAAAAAAAAAGAACTATTTGTTTTCATGCTGATGGGGACATGGTAGTCAGTGACTCTACCCATGACCACGCCCCCAGCCCCCTCACTGGGGATTCTAGGCGGGGCTCCACCCTCACCACTCCCCAGCCCCACTGGGGATTCTAGGCGGGGCTCCACCCTGACCACGCCCCCAGCCCCTCACTGGGGATTCTAGGCGGGGCTCCACCCTGACCACGCCCCCAGCCCCTCACTGGGGATTCTAGGCGGGGCTCCACCCTGACCACACCCCAGCCCCTTACTGGGGATTCTAGGCAATGGCTGGACTGCTGATCCCCACCTCTGTCCTGTGCTGTAGTTTTCATGGGGTCCATCAACCCTCTTTCAGTAATATCCAATATGTTTCTTATTTGTGTAATTTTTCTTTTTTCTTTTCTTTTGTTTCCTGAGACAAGGTTTCTCTCTGTAACCCTGGCTCTCCTGGAATTCAGAGATTCCCCTTGCCTCTGCCTCTGGAGTGCTGGGCCTACAGGCATGTGTCACCAAGGTCTTCGTTAGGATGCATATTAATCAGATATGTATGACACACGTAAACAATATCGGAAACTCATCTTCTACCTAGCAAGGCATGCCCAAAGCAGCAGCTGGTGGGAAGTAGGGCTGATTGCCCTCCCTCTGACCCTTCCTGGAAGGGGTGGGGGTTTGGAGAGTGGGGAAGTTAGAGAGAGCTGGAAGGACCTGCTTTGTTGGGAGAAACCACCCAAGCACCCGCCTTACTCAAGATCTTCAGGTCAGGAATTTGGTTTTCTTTCTCTCTTTCTTTTTTGAGACAGGGTCTCACTGTGTAGCTCTGACTGGCCTTCACCTCTATAGACCAGGCTGGTCTGTACTTCTGATTCCCACCTCTGCCTCCTGAGTGTGCACCACCCCTCCCAGACTAATGGTTATAGATTTGTGTTCACTGCCTCATGGCTGGGATCAGAGAGCCCCCAAGGAGTCCTGGGCTGTGTACACTGGGGAGTCAGCTTTCCCCCCATCCTCCCCCATCGCCTTCAGTGTTCGGCTGATTCTGGGTGGCCAGATGTTTGCCCAGGGGAAGCTGCCTATCTTGATCAAGGCTCAGGGATATCTATGTCAAGTCACAGTGGATTGGGCAAACCTAGGTTCAAGAAGAGAGGAAGCTGCTCTACCTAACCCTAACCGTGGAGGGCAGGAGGAGGCGGTTCCTGCTGTCTGGGAGTCAGGTTCTGTGGCTTCCTGTACCCAGGGCCCTATACCAGCAGAAGTGAGTTCCCTGCCTGCTGAAATTGGCAAGCATGAAACGCCCACTCCGAATCGGGCGGAGCAGATAAGGTTCTCAGTCGTGGTCCAGGCTGCGTCCATACTTGACCCCAGGTCAAAGGTCACTCAACTCCAACTTCGGTGAACTCTGAGGCCAGGATTTGACCACTGGCTCTGTCACCCCCGCCCAGCTGTCATAGTCCTCAAGGCCGAGTGTCCCGGTCACTCGCCAGCCCCTCCAGCCTCATCTTCCCAGGCCGAGAGAGTCCGGAGGAACGCGGGTGCTTCGGAAAGACTTTTCAGCATAGACGTCTTAGTCACTGTGAAGAGACACAATGACCATGACAACTCTTATAAAGGAAGCATTGTATCCCTGGCTTGTTGACACTTTTGGAGCATTTGTCCACGATCATGCCAGGAAACAGACAGGCATGATGCTGGAGCGGAAACTGAGACCTTTACACCCCGATCTGCAGGCAGCAGGTCCAGAGTGAATGAGACTAGGGGCGGGGCTTCTGAACTCTCAAAACCGGTGACACACCTTCTCCAACTTGGCCAGCCTCCTACAAAACGGCCACGCCTCCTCCAAGGAAGACACACCCCCTTCAACGAGGACACGCCTCCTCCAACAAAGGACAGCCTCATCCTCACAGCAGGGTTCCCCAGCTGGGACCGGTCTCGTTCGTATACCACAGACAGATTCTTGAAACCTATCCACCGCTGGCATTTCTCTGGGTTTTGCTTTCTGTGACAATTTTCTCAGTTATTTGCTTAGACTGAAATAGCCCTAGGACGTAGCTGGATGGCAGGGTGCTTGTCCAGCAAGTGGAAGACCCCAGCAGGGCAGTGGTGGCGCACGCCATTAAACCCAGCACTCAGGAGGCAGAGGCAGGCGGACCTCTGAGTTCAAGGCCAGCTTTATCTGCAAAGCGAGCTCCAGGATAACCAGGGGTACACAGAGAAACCCTGTTTGTCAGGGGAAACAAAACATTGAAAACTGATCCTGGAGACAGTTCCCTGGCTCAGTAGGTTATGGGCGAGTTCAAATTCCCAGCAACATAAATAGCTAGGTGCTGCACAGAGATGGGAGGACCCTGGGTCTCTCGGGACAGAAGGCCAAGGTCAATAGGTGAGCGCCAAGTTCGGGGAAACCTTGTCTCAGAAAAGAGCTACCGCGGAGGCCGCCTTCTGCCTCCGTACCCATGGCCACATACACGGCGCGACACACAGTCACACTCTGCATCTTACCTGATTGCTGGGCTTCGATCTCTGGTCCTCATGCTTGGCAGCAAGCAGTCTTCTCCCCAGAGCCCTCTCCTTTGCCCTGGAAGCCAGATTCGAACCCACGCTGTTTGCACCCGGAGTCGTCCCCCACCTGCACCATGTGACCTCTGCATTTCCCAGACTCAGGTCTCTGGACACTTTCCCAGCATGAGTGCCGATGGCCCTGCCCCACCTTTGCCCTGCCTCAAGTCTCTCACAGGTTACTCCTCATTCTCATTGGCTGGGATGGCAAAGATGGCTCCTGTCCATCTTTGGCAGAGCTGGTCCGACTCTCCCCGATGCCCCATAGGGGTCACAGGTTCAGCCCCCAGCAGCGCACAAACCGGGCCTGAGGCTGCTTGCCCATCATCCCAGCACTGGGAAGGTGGAGGCAAGACTGTTAGGAGTTCAAAGCCAGCCAAGGCTACAGAGTGACCTGAAGGCCAGCCTGGGCCTCACTGAGGGTTGGGGCCAGCCTGGGCCACATAGGGGATTCGGGGTCAGCCTGGGTCACATAGGGAGTTCAGGCCAGCCTGGGCCACGTAGGAGTTTCTAGGCTAGTCTGAGTCACATAGGAGGTTCGGGATCAGTCTGGGCCACATAGGGGGTTCTAGGCTAGTCTGAGTCACATAGGAGGTTCGGGACCAGCCTGGGCCACATGGGGGTTTGGGGCCAGTCTGGGCCACACACAGGAGCCGAACAGACCCCACTCCTCTCCGCAGGTCCCCCGCGTGACGCAGAGGCCGCCAAGCGCTTCATCATGGACATGTACGCGCGCGTGTACGCAGGCTGCGCTGAGCCCCACGATGGCGGCAGGAAGGGGTCCCGTGCGCGCCGTCTCTTTGCACACTTCACCTGCGCCACGGATACGCACAGCGTCCGCAGCGTGTTCAAGGACGTGCGGGATTCGGTGCTGGCCCGGTACCTGGACGAGATCAACCTACTGTGACCAGCTCCGAGCCTCAGTTTACGGGATGTCCCGCGGGGCGCGGTCGTGGCGGGGACAGGGCGCCCCCTGGTGGACGCTTGGGAAACTGCGGGGCGAGGGCTCCCGGTGTCGCTGCTCCCCACGCAAGTCCAGGCCCCAAACGTCTGCAGTTCCTTCCCTCGCCCTCCTTCTAGTTATTAAGGAAAGGACAGGAGTCGGGTCGTTAACCCTAGCACTCGGGAAGCAGAGGCAGGAGGATGTCTGCGAATTCCGGGACCACCAGGGCTAGCTAGTAAAAGACTCTGCGTCAAAAACCAGACAAGACTAGAGAGAGCCAGTCTGTGGGCCTGTGACTCCCCAGGGTCCCTGTCCACATCCTCCCGTAAGATCCTCACCCTAGGGTACGGGGATGGGTGGGGGAAGAGCGGAAGTTCTGCTTGCTGTCTACCAACTCGTGTACTGAGGTAGGCGCCAGCCAAAGACCGTTATCCGCAGCTGTGAGGAGCCCTCCGTCCCCAAACCCCAGCCCACGACACTACTCAACGCACTCCAGGACCTCTGACGAAAGGGGAAACTGGAGTCCGAGATGCCTCAGCTGGAGAAGACGCTTGTGGCCAAGTCTGACAACCGGAGTCAGGTCCCCAAACCCGCTCGGTGGACATAGGGACCGAGGCGCAGAGCTGTCCCCCAGCCCTGCAGGCGTGCATGGTGGGGACACATCCACCCACACAAAGAAATAAATGTAATTAACAACCAAAAAGCGAGAAATGAGGAGTAAAGAAATACTGTCCCCAGCAGCGGCGGCCGGAATGCCGAGGCAGGAGGATTGGAGCTTTCTTGTCCTTGGCATCCCCAGCGTCCCCTCCGTGAGCAAGTCAGGGGACATCGAACCCAGATAACTTCAAATCTGGGTCAGAGGCTGGGGGGTGGGGGCAGGTGGATGGCTCAGTGGGTAAAGTGCTGAAGTGAGGAGACCAGAATTCGAATCCCCAGAATCCTCCTAGGAGCCAGCACCGTGGTGTAAGCCTGTCATGCACCAGGGAGCTGGGGACAGTGGGAGCTGGCAGCCCCGGATTCAACGAGAGATCCCACTTCACGCAGGGTGGGGAGCGACCGAGGAAGGCACCCAACCCCGGGTTACATCACTGTGATAGATGGGGACATAGAACTGAACCCCCTTCTCTGGCTCCCGAGCACTAGGGCTGCAGCTTGCTTGTTCTCGGGGGGTCCTGGGATCCGGATGCGGGTCCCACGGAGGCACATTCCCGACTGAGTTCTCTTCGCAGCTCCCTGGCGCACACCCCGTTACACAGCTGCATTGTACTCCACTCTGGGACACAGCATGGCTTTATCCGGGCGCAGGAGTGGGGCCAGACTCTGCTCTGCTTTGTGCCTATCGACAAAGGGCACCTCGGAGAATTGCCTTCCACACAGGGGTCCAGAGCGCGGTCTCCAGGGCGAGTTCGGGACAGGGACAAGAAGATGGCACCTACACAGCATGGCCGCATCTTTGCGTGGCACCCAGAGCTGTCTGTGAAGGCAGCTGCTGTGGGGAACACGGGTTTGCAAGCTTGGGCTCTCAGGGGGATTGGTCAGCACTCACTGCAGGGTGCTGTGCTCAGTCCTCCCGCGCACAGCACTTCAGGGCTGACTTGAACTCACCGCAAGAGGCCGGGTGAGAGGCGTGGCTGCCGCTTGAAACGGGTCTCACCCAGGGCGAGCGTCGGCACGGTGGGGTGTGAGATTAGCCAGGCTCAGGGTCCATCCTGGGATCAGGGCTCCTAGAGGCTTGGGGAGTTCGTGCGAAGGGGCCAAGGCACTGGGCAGGGTCTGGGTCTCACGTGGATCAAGGGTCAGAGGGAGAGCGGCACTCAGGTGGGATTGAGGCTCAGCGCAGGGAAGGGGTCCAGCCTGGGATCTGGCATAGGATTCATGGTCTGGCTCAGGGTTTGACCTAACCTCTGTGATTGACACCCAGGCTAGGTCCCGCCCCTCCGCGGCCTCTCGCCCCGACCTTTTCCAAGGGGACCCCGGGACGCGGGGTGCTGAAAGTGGGGTCTTTGCCCCCTCACCGACCTTCCCTTCCCGGGACCCCCAAGACAGCCGACGACACCCTCCCCCCCACGCTTCCTTCTCCCTCCCGCCCCGTCCCTCCCAGCCTGTTCCCGGACCCTACCCCGCCCCCCCCCCCCCCCCCCCCGCTTCTCCCTCCAGCCTCAGGCAGTGACACCCACTGACCGGGGTCGCGGATCACAGCCACCCCGAGCCCCTGCGGGAGACCCCGTTTCTCCATCCCTCCCCTACACCCGATGCGGTCGCCCACCGCTTGGGTCCCTGATGATTTAAACAACCAGATACCACACAGCCGGCGGCGGCCTCAGTTTCCCCTCCTAGCTCGGCGCTGCGGGGAGTTACAGGTGTTCGCACGCTGATTAGGCGCCCGCTGTGTTTGGAAGACATTTAGTAAGCACTTGCTGTGTGTGGAAGGGTGACAAACGTTTTCTAAGCGTCCCTGCTACAGGAGACAAAATTTCATCAAGCACCTAGTGTGTGTGTGTATGACGATTTTCCCCCTATGGGTGACATTATTAAGCCCCTGCTCTATATGGGTGGACCATATTCATTATTATTACTGTTTGTTTGTTCGTTTGGTTTTTCAACTCAGGCTCTTCACAGTGTAGCCCTGGCTGTGCAGGAACTCACTCTGCAGACCAGGCTGGCCTGGAACTCACGGAGGTCCCCCTGAGTGCTGGGGTGCACATTTATTAAACATACACACCAAACACTGATTAAGCACCTGCTGTGTAAGAGGTCACTAAACATTAGGCACCAGTGAATGGTTCAGTGGATAAAGTGGCTTGTGGCCAAGCCTCAAGGACCAGAGTTCGGTTCTGGGACCCACAGGGTGGAAGGAGAGAACCCTCTCCTGTAAACTGCCCTCTGACCTCAGCCACCTCTGCCTGTGATGTGGTACCTGCACATCCTACATATCATAAAAAAAAACAAATAAATGTAACAAAACTTTTTAAAAATTATGAAGCACCCTGCGGTCGTGGCACACGCCTTTAATCCCAGCACTCAGGAGGGAGAGGCAGGAGGATCTCTATGAGTTCGAAGCCAGTCTGGTCAGTGAGTTTCAGGACAGGCTCCAAAGCTACAGAGAAATTTGTCTCAAAAAAACAAAACAAAACAACAATCTGAAGCACCTGCAGGCCACGGTGGCACTTAATGTGTTTTGGTGTCTTTACGATGAGCCGCCTGTGTATGGCTGCACACAGTAACGAAGGCCTACGATGGGCCGTCTGTATATGGCTGACATTTATTAAGCCCCTGCTGTATGCAAGCATGCTGGGAACAGCCGGTTCCAACCGGGAAGGTGCCAGGTGGTACCCATTGTCCTGTAGCGACAACCTCTCCTGCACATCCTCCCATCCTTGGGACAGGAGAGGACATTGGGCAGGCGTGGAGGTGCCAGAGGGCTCATCCCAGCCACCCTCAACCGTTGCTCAGGATGCCCCTCCCTGCCCTGGCCTCACCCCCACCCACCCGGGGGCACCTTAAACATAACAGGAAATTTCAAACAACAGGAAACCCAGGCCAGGCTGCGACTCCACCCTGCCCAGGGCCTCTCTGTCAGTCTGTCCCTGGGGGAGGCCATGAACATCAGCACCTGGTCCTGTCACCGGCTGGCGGCCAGCGGTCACAGCCTCCTCATCGTCCTGCATTACAACCACAGTGGGCGGCTGGCCGGCCGCGGGGGCCCCGAGGACGGTGGCGGGCTGGGGACGCTGCGGGGACCGTCGGTGGCGGCGGGCTGCCTGGTGGTACTGGAGAATGCGGTGGTGCTGGCCGCCATCGCCACTCGCATGCGGTCTCGCCGCTGGGTGTACTACTGCCTGCTGAACATCACGCTGAGCGACCTGCTCACCGGCCTGGCCTACCTAGTCAACGTGCTGCTGTCGGGGACGCGCACCTTCCAGCTGTCCCCCGCGCACTGGTTCCTGCGGGAGGGCATCCTCTTCATGGCCCTGGCCGCGTCCACCTTCAGCTTGCTCTTCACGGCCGGCGAGCGCTTCGCCACCATGGTGCGGGTGGCCGAGAGCGGGGCCACCAAGACCAGCCGCGTGTACGGCTGCATCGGGCTGTGCTGGCTGCTGGCGGCCACGCTGGGCCTGCTGCCCCTCCTGGGCTGGAACTGCGTGTGTGCCTTCCCGCGCTGCTCCAGCCTGCTGCCCCTCTACTCCAAGGGCTACGTGCTCTTCTGCGTGGTGGTCTTCGCCCTCATCCTGGTGGCCATCCTGGGCCTCTACGGGGCCATCTTTAGGGTGGTCCGGGTCAACGGGAAGAAGTGCCCCCGGGCTCCTGCCCGCCGCAAGGCCCGCAGACTGCTCAACACGGTGCTGATGATCTTGGTGGCCTTCGTGGTGTGCTGGGGTCCCCTGTTCGGCTTGCTCCTGGCCGACATCTTCGGTTCCAACGTCTGGGCCCAGGAGTACCTGCGTGGCATGGATTGGATCCTGGCCCTGGCAGTACTCAACTCCGCCATTAACCCCCTCATCTACTCCTTCCGCAGCCGCGAGGTGCAGCGCTCGGTGCTGGCCTTCCTCTGTTGTGGCTGTCTCTGGTTGGGCCTGCGGGGTCCTGGTGACTGCCTGACTCGGATCACTGAGGTCCACTCCGGTGCGTCCACCACCGACAGCTCGCTGAGGACCAGAGACAGTTTTCGGGCTTCCAGGTCACACAGCTTCAGGATGCGCGAGCCGCTGTCTAGCGTTTCCAGTGTCCGGAGCGTCTAGAGCGTGGACCGGCCAGTTGCCAGGGCGAGCACTGCACAGGCCCTCCCGGGAGAGGTGAGAAGGGACTGGACACACGATCCTGGCCTGATGATGCCAGCAGGTCCTGGGGTCTGTCTGTGCACGGAGCTGCCAGTGCTGAATGTCGGGCAGAGGAGAGAGTGGCTCGCGCCAGATCTAGTGGGTCTGGGCCTCATTCCGGACCTCACATCCTCACATTCACCAGGAGGTGATGGGGACACACCATGTCCGAGTTCACCAACAGGACAGGTCACTGTGGTTCCTTCTTAGTCACACATGTGCGTGTTGGGCGGGGGGGGGGGGGGGGGGGGGGGGGTGGGGGGTGGGAGGGGGAGGCTGCTGTAACACGTCTCCTTGTCATACCTAGTGGTGCTTTGGGGGTGTGCTGAGGTGGGGGGGCTGCCCCTTTTGTCTGAGGGCAGCCACCTTGCTGATTGATATGTTGCAAAAACGAATGGGGCCCAGAGACGCACCTGCCAATCATCTCTCTCCACTATGACTTCCCCATTGGGACAGGCGGCCGCCCCCAGGGCCTCCCACCACCAGGTCAGTTTCTCTGTTTATGTGGGAAGAACTGACCCGCCTACCCCAGGTCTGGGGCAATATCTTGACCTGGTCCAGTAACCCCGTGGTCTCACCCTTCCGTTTCTGAACCACGGTGACGTGCTGTGTGTGACAGGGGACAGTGGACCCACTGTTCGAAAGCGCAGCCTCGAGCCACGCACAGCTGCATAAGAGCTATTAAACTGAAGGAAACCTACACATTTGGTTTCTCAGCGTATTGTAACCAAGTCCCACCGGTGGTGACTCTAAGGACGGCAGTGATTGTCACTCAGCTTGGGGCACACATCTGTTGACTTTTCTACACTTTTAACTTCAATGGGTTGTGACCTTGGTGCTTAGCATGGGGCTTGCTATACACTTGGCATCCATTTGTTGCAGAGCAACCACTCTCAGGGACAAGGCCAGCACTCTGAGTCTTAGAATCCACTTTTTCACCTAAGGCTATCAGAGAACGTGTTGTCCCGAATTCTCCACAAGGTTGAGAAGGTTGGCTTCTAAAGCCAGCGCTTACCAAGCGTCTACTGCAGACCTGACTCAAACTCAACTCACGCCAATTCTCATATTGAATTCTTCCCCGTGTCTGCTGGTAGGTGGGTAGCAGTGTTTGGTCATTTATTTCTTGTTTATTGTATTCCTAGAGGTGTGAGTGACAAATAATTTTATTTTATTGTTTTTTGATAAATAATTTTAATTCACATTTTAAATTACCCTAACCTGAGTCACTGGGACTGATCAAATCCCAGAGCCTTATCAAGTACTCCAAAATTAAATTTGAATTTGCAATAGGAAAACTAAAACTTTTAGGTTCAATATGTCCCAAATATGAACAGGAATAATAAAGACCTCCCCACCATCAACTAGTTCCATTATTGTCATAGCTATCTCCCCACTATCACTAAAGCCCGTGCCAATTTCCTGCCTTACCTAACCTTAACACTTGCCACGAGTTTTATTTATTTGTTTGTTTGTTTGTTTATGTTTTGAGACAGGGTTTCTCTGTAGTTTTGAAGCTTGTCCTGGAACTAGCATTGCAGACCAGGCTGGCCTCGAACTCACAAAGATCCGTCTGCCTTTGCCTCCCGACTCCCGAGTGCTGGGATTAAAGGCATGTGCCACCAATGCCCGGCACGATTTTTTTTTAATTTTAATTTTTATTTTTTTAGCCATCTTTTCATTCATTCACTTCAGAATGCTGACACCCACTGGATGTCTTGTGCTCTAGGAACTTACAAGAAAAAGATATGAACCCTCATAAGTTTCACATCTGCTTTATTTTTGCTCATTTTAACTCCCTCCCGTTTCACAGAGACAGGGCGACACCAGTTCCCATCATCCCACGTCCCAGCCGGGCACTTTCTCATGCCCCCCCCCTTCCGGGTCGCAAGGTCACGTCCTGCACTTTCGGTTCTTGATCGTCCTTCTTGTTAAGGACTCCAAACATTCGGCTTAAGCAAGCTTTACTGAAAATGATTTTTAATAGCTTTTTAAACTCTCGGTGTTTTGCGACTTGGAGTTTATGAGTTCAGAAGTTATGTCCGCCATACCTTCGTCCTGGGCGCGCCACAGCGGGACTACAACTCCCAGAGTGCTCCGCGCTCAATGACTACTACTGCGCTCTAGAAACAGTAGCGCGAGTCTCACTGTGCCTACAACTCCCAGGAATCCCCCGCGTGAGGTGTGTGGGGGGGGGCGTCTATAACTCACATGAAAGACTACATTTCCCGGCAGGTGGCGCGGTACTCAAAGCCGTCCACAGCGCTGCCCAAAGGACCCTTGGGCAGCCGCGGGCTGTCTGTGGTTCTGCCCGAAGGACCTCAGCGGCCGCCCATGCCGAGCTGAGTCCGCGAATCCCGGGCCGCTTCCCGTCGCCATCAGCCACCGCCGCCGCCGCTTTTGCGGCCTGCCGCCTGTCGGAATGCTGGAGGAAGCGGGCGAGGTGCTGGAGAACGTGCTGAAGGCATCGTGCCTGCCGCTCGGCTTCATCGTCTTCCTGCCCGCCGTACTGCTGCTCGTGGCGCCGCCGCTGCCCGCCGCCGACGCCGCGCACGAGTTCACCGTGTACCGCATGCAGCAGTACGACCTGCAGGGCCAGCCGTACGGTGCGCGACCCCTGACCCCGTCCCCTGTCGCCGCCACCCCTCACTGCCACACCGCTCCCCGGTTACCGCAATCTTCCCGCTGTCATGCCGAGGATTCCCGACTGTTTCCCCGTCTCCCACTGTCATAGTGATCCCCTTCCTGGCAACCCCACTCCTCCCTGTCCCTTCAGGCCCCTGCTGTCACACTGATTCCTGTCACCCCGTCACACCATCGTCACCCAGATTCTCGCCTCTTCTTGATCCCCCGTCACCCTGATTCCCTCTCTGTCACTGGTTACCCCAGGCCTACTGTCCTGGGATCCCCCGGGGCCTTGGTTCCCCGGGTTCTCTGTCCTCACGCCTGTGTCTTGGGTCTCTCAAAGCCTCCCTTTTGCTGCCTGTGGTATCTGGCCTTCTAGAACCCTCTGGTCTTTAGTTTGCCTTCCAGCCTTGATGCTTAGTGTGTCCCTGAGCGTCAAGGCCGGGTCCCGCGTGTGTGTGCCAGCCTGGGTTTGTGCACCCCAGCCTCTATATGCGAACCCCATGGGCCCTTGTGCCAAGAATTACGTTATTTCTCTTTAAAGGAGCATTGCAGCTTGGGGGGGGGGGTCATGTGGCTGCCCCTACTTGGGGATCCCGGAGTGGGTGGAGGTCGGTGGCTGCCCTGTGCATTGCAGGGCAGAGAACAGTGCTCTGAAACAATGACTTGTCACCCAGGGCACCATAGGGTGAGGGTCAACAGGGCCAGAGTAGCAGGGTGGTCGGGTGTCCCCAGTGTTGAAGTTGCTTGTGACCTGACATTTTCTGAAGTGTCACCAGCAAAACTGTCTACAGCAGGGTACCACTGAATGGCCACATGGAGCCAGTGGCTACCAAGCTAGGTAGCATAGCTTCTGAGCCCCTAGAGACATTCCAGAGCATTCCAGGGTCCAGAGGGCAGTTCCTAGAGTACTTATGCCCAGCTCACACCCCCACAGCCTGCATCAGCCCTTTAGCTGAGCTGGAGTGTGAATGAGCTCGTGTCCTCAGTGGACCGTACACCTAACATGGCCGTCTCTCCTTGGCTGAATATGAACTGTGGGGCTCCTGCACCCCTGGGAGCCCACGATGAGATAACCAACCAGAGCAGGTCTTGAGAAACCCTGCATAAGTCCCCTGGGCTCCCCTCAGCCCCAACCTGCTCCGCAGCCTCACTGAAGCTCCCCTTACCCAACTTCCCCTGGGTCTTTGTTGAGAAATAAATGACACTAGTGTGAGGGAGGTTCATGGTAGGCGTGACCAGACCACCGTCCCTCCTTCTGTGGACCTTGGCCTTCTTGGGACCTGCCTTCTTGTCAGCGTGGGGTTGGGACAGGACTTCTGTGTCTTGTCTGCCTCCCTAGTGGCTCGGTGACCCTCAGTTACATCTCCACAAGCCTGGAGTCAGTGGATGAAGGTTGGCCTCCCCTGTACTTGTGGATAAAGTTTTATTGACACTCAGTCACTGACACCACTGAGCTGACAAACCAGCCATGGGGAGGAGCCTGCTGAGTGTGCACCTGAGCCTGCCTTCATGGTATCCCTGGGCCACCTGCTGAACTGCAGCGATGGGGCTGTGACCCTGGCTGGGAGCATGGTGGGTTTTGGGGACTGGTGCATGGGCAGCACTGCCCACTGGGGCTCCATGTCACCTCCCCATGAGGAAGAGAGCCAGGTGCACAGTGCTGCCCTGCCGCAGCTCTTGGCCTTCTTGGGGACACTGTAGGGACCTCAAGGAAGAGCTGGCTTCTGAACCACACTCCGACCGGGAGCAGGTTAAAGAGGGAAAGGTGTTACTTCTCCCTGTAATAGGATCCCCATAGTTGTGCAAGACCCTGGGGGAAGAAGGGTGTCCCTGGGGTGCCTGGCCTGTGCTGGCTTTCAGGGCAGTTGTCCCTGGCCGGCCCTGCCCCTCCCCGCCCCCATACTGTGCATTCCTAGAAAGTGAGAGCAGGGCCTAGCTGAGCCTGGGCCTGGGACTCCCTGTAGGTTCAGGCCTTGGCCGTTTCTAAGCTTCCCACAGGGTGTCAACTTGTGAGCGACAAGTCCCCATCACCCCGTGTGTTGGGTCAGTCACACATGACCTGTCCAAGACCCAGCCAGTACATCCCTTTGACACTTGGGCCTTGGTATGATGTGGGCGTCAGCGTCCAGGTGACCGCCCTAGATGCCCCACCAGGATTGAGTCCCCTCTGCACTGAGCTGTGAGCCACAATCTGTGTAGTCATTTACTGCCCCCTTCTGGCCATGCGCGTCCAGGGTGCTGCCTGCCTTCACCCTGGTGGCAGTTGAGCATTTAGGAAGCATCTGATGTATTGTTCCATCCAGTCTGGATGTAAGTGGGTCCCAGGACCTAGGGCACCTGAGGTCCATGGAGGTTCGCCTCTGGCCTGTGCCGTACAGACCCCCTAGGGCCCAGCTGGCCCTTTCCTGACTGTGTGCCGGTGTGGAGGCCCCACATGGTGTCCATACACTGGGAGGCCTGCAGCTGTGACCCTGTGTCCCCCACAGGCACACGGAATGCAGTGCTCAACACGGAGGCACGCACAGTGGACGCAGACGTGCTGAGCCGCCGCTGTGTGCTTATGCGGCTTCTGGACTTTTCCTATGAGCACTACCAGAAGGCCTTGCGACAATCAGCGGGCGCTGTGGTCATCATCCTCCCTCGAGCCATGGCCGCTGTGCCCCAGGATGTTGTCCGGGTGAGCCTGTACCACTATCCCACGCTTGCTCCCCAGGTTGTATCTGGAGTGTGTCTTTGGGCCGCTTACTTTGCCTTTCTGCATCTGAAGAAGGTTTCCTGTCCCTGAGGACACGCAGCTGCATTCTCTGCCGTTTAGGACAGGGGCTGAAGTGGGGGAGCCACTCCAGGGGTGGCCACGGTCTCCTGATTGCGTATACTCCCCACAGCAATTCATGGAGATTGAGCCCGAGATGCTGGCCATGGAGACCGTGGTCCCCGTGTATTTTGCTGTGGAGGATGAGGCCCTGCTGTCCATCTATGAGCAGACCCAGGCTGCCTCTGCTTCTCAGGGCTCTGCCTCTGCTGCTGAAGGTGAGCCAGGCTAGTAGAGGGTGTGATGTGTCTCCGTGGCGGCTGGGACTGTCTTGGGCCTCTGTGTTTGCAGTATCTACCCCAGCCGTGGGCCCAAGTGACTCGTCCCTTCTGTCCCCAGTGCTGCTGCACACAGCCACGGCCAATGGTTTCCAGATGGTGACCAGCGGAGCCCAGAGCCAGGCAGTGAGCGACTGGCTGATCACCAGCGTGGAGGTGAGTGCCCGCCCCAGGGCGGCATGCCAGGGGTGGTGGAGACCCAGGAACTCGCCCAGCACCACAGAAATCAGGCCTGGTAGCACACACCTGGGAGACTGAGGCAGGAGGATCGGAGCGCAGGGCCATCCATGGCTGCATAGTGGGTTTGATGCTGGCTTGGTATACAGGAGACCCCTCTTTAATAAAAGAACCCCCTCATTTAGAGTTCCGGGGTCGGGAGCACACAGAACCATGGGACTGGTGGTGGGTCGGGCTGGAGGGCAGACTGCAGGGGCGTCTGCAGCGTCCCCACAGCTGCTGAGATGAGATGGACTTACAGGCTGTGACCATTGCTCCGTCGTCTCTCCACAGGGACGGCTGACAGGGCTGGGAGGTGAGGACCTCCCCACCATTGTCATCGTGGCTCATTACGACGCCTTTGGCGTGGCCCCAGTAAGTGCCTGGTGTGCAGTCGAGGAAGGGACAGGGACACCTCGGGCAAGCAAGGAAGGGGCTGCCAACTGCTCCAGGCCCCAATGTGTTGGGTGATGCGGTGTGGGACTCAGAATGCCTGGCCCATGGTGTCTTCAGCAACTGCAACTCTTTATAAAAGGAAGCACTTAAGTGGGGCTCACACACAGTTGTCCGTCACGGCGGCAGGCAGGTATGCCGCTGGAAGACTGAGCGCTACCTCCTGATGTGCCGTCCAAGACAGGCTGGGCCTGGGCTGGGCTTTCAACACCTCACAGCCCAGCCTCCAAGAGCAGACTGGAGGCTGTCTGAGAGCTCTGGCTGTCCTGAGCTGAGAGATCCCCCTTCCCCAGCCTCCTGGGCTGCGGTCAAAGGGGTGACCACCACACTCTGCCCTGTGGGTGTTCACATCTCCCTTCTGCCTGCTTGTGCCCCACATGAGGCTTGGCACCTCGTGGACAGGCCTGGCCTTCAGGAGGCGTAACCGACAGGTCCTCTGCCCACAGTGGCTGTCGCTGGGCGCCGATTCAAACGGCAGTGGCATCTCCGTGCTGCTGGAGCTGGCTCGTCTCTTCTCACGCCTCTACACGTACAAGCGCACACATGCAGCGTGAGTGCCAGCCATGGGGCTGGTCCCCAGGTGACCCCGCTGTACATCCCTCACCAGGTGCTGCCGTTCCCAGAAGGGCTGGACCCGTCAAGAGTGACCGCAGCCAATCTCGGCTCTACCAGGATGTTCCTGGGTGGGCCTCTGTGGGAGTCCATGCCCACAGTGTGACAGCCACATGTGTCCTGAGGTGCCACGCAGGGTTGGCTACAGGGCCAACACGTGAGAGTGGCTTTGACATTTGTGAGCTGGGCTCACAGGGCAGCTGCACAGCCTCTGTTAGTACATGGGGGTCGCCTCGTCCCTCTCTTACCGCCACGAGGCAGCTGTGTTTTTGCTCACCCCAGCTATGTCTGTCCCTCATGGCCTGTACCAGTCCTGACGGGTTTGACAGCCCTATGTGACAGTGGCCAGTCAGTAGTATGGGCCAGTAACAACCTGGGCTCAGCGGCTGCCCCGTGTGTCATCACTGGGCAGCTTGGCTGCGGTTCCCAAGCAGGTGAGGATGTGGGGCACCTGTGTGACTCAGGGTCCTTCAACTGAACACTGGCATCTGGGGACGTGGTCTGGGATGGAGTGCTAGTCTGGGCTCCTCCCCGTGGGTGTCCTCAGCGGCCTCCCTCTGCAGCATTCGGAACACATAGGACTCACATTTGGGGATTCCCTGGGGTGGTGTGGAGAGATCTGGGGTTTCCATGTGCCCAGTCAGGGACCTGCGGCCTGATCACGTCCGTGACACCCGCACTCGCAGGTACAACCTCCTGTTCTTCGCATCAGGAGGAGGCAAGTTCAACTACCAGGGCACCAAGCGATGGCTGGAGGACAGCCTGGACCACACAGGTGAGTGGGGCCTGGGTCGGTGGGCCCGTGGACTGGGCCTCATGCCCCTGACACGTGCCTGCCCTGCAGACTCCAGCCTGCTGCAGGATAACGTGGCCTTCGTGCTGTGCCTGGACACCGTGGGCCGCGGCAGCCACCTGCGCCTACACGTGTCCAAGCCACCTCGGGAGGGGACGCTGCAGCACGCCTTCCTGCGTGAGCTGGAGACAGTGGCCACGCACCAGTTCCCTGACGTCAGCTTCTCCATGGTGCACAAGAAGATCAACCTGGCGGACGACGTGCTGGCCTGGGAGCACGAGCGCTTTGCCATCCGCAGGCTGCCCGCCTTCACGCTGTCGCACCTGGAGAGCCACCGTGCGGGGCCGCGCAGCAGCATCATGGACGTGCGGTGAGTGGGTGCCCCGGAGACAAGCCACTTTCCAGGTCTTTCCTGGGACCTTCCATGGGGCGCTCTCTGGTGGGACGGCCTTCAGAATTGTATAATGCCTTCTGTGGGGGTTAGATCCTAGGGTCTTCTCTGGAGCCCCCTTCTAGAACCTTCTGTGGGGGACACCTTTCATCTCCTTTCAAGAAGAAAACTCTGGGCTGGGGCAAGAGCTGCTGCTCATGAGGGGGAACAGAGCTATCTTCTCGAACTTTCCATGGGCTGAGTACAGCTGTGTGACCACGTGGAGCAGAGTGGGCTCTTGTTCAGGGCGAGGGTGGGGCTCGGAGTCAGGAGCAGTCTGGGAGGCCAGCAGCTGGTCACACACCGGGAGCCGCTCAGGCTGCCTGCTGGGTTGAAGAAAGGTCACTTGCCCACCCCCTCGCAAGCCTTGAGGTGACCATTCCCCGCCGGTTGTCGGTTGTCCTGGGTCCCCACACCATGCCTCAGCTCCCCCACCACACTGGGCCGTGACTGCCCTGCGGGGTGTCCGTGGTCAGACACACTCTTTACCTGGTCCCTGTGAGCAGCCACCCAGAGCCCAGGCACCAGAGACAGCACTCCCTATCTGAAGACCCTATCCCTGTGTTCTCAAGGGCCCGCGTAGACTCCAAGACGCTAACGCGGAACACGCGGATCATCGCTGAGGCCCTGACGCGGGTTATCTACAACCTGACAGAGAAGGTAAGCTGTCTGGTTCTGGCCCTGGCCTGGTGCACACAGCCCTGCTGGGCTGCCTCACCCTGTCCCTTCCCTTTGCAGGGGACTCCCCCGGACATGCCAGTGTTCACGGAGCAGATGGTAAAGTGTGCGTGTGGGGTGGGCCACGGGGACCCCTGCTGTGACCCCTGCGTGACCCCAGCCTGCGCCTGGCCCTAGCAGGTCCAGCAGGAGCAGCTGGACTCAGTGATGGACTGGCTCACCAACCAGCCGCGGGCCGCGCAGCTGCTGGACAAGGATGGGACGTTCCTGAGCACTCTGGAGCACTTCCTGAGCCGCTACCTGAAGGACGTGCGGCTGCACCACGTGAGGGCCGACAAGCGGTGAGCGAGGGGGCCAGGTCTGGGCTGCGTCCTTCTCTAGGAAGACTTCCCAGGCAGGGGAGTTTCTAGTCCCTTTCTTGACTATTTAAAAAATATTTTTAAGCCAGGCAGTGGTGGCGCACACCTTTAACCCCAGCACTCAGGAGTCAGAGGCAGGGGGATCTCTGTGAGTTTGAAGCCAGCCTGGTCTACAGAGTGAGTTCCAGGACAGTCAGGACTACACAGTGAGACCCTGTCTCAAACAACAACAAAAAACACATGCAAAAATATTTTTTGCTGTGAATTGAGCTGTTGATATTTAGTCTGGGCAAGCCTCAAACCTGTCATACTCCTGCATCAGCCTCCCAGAGGCTGCCATTACAGGGGAGCACTGAGCAGGGCTGTTTCTCGGCAGGGACCCCGAGTTTGTCTTCTACGATCAGCTGAAGCAGGTGATGAATGCCTACAGGTGAGTGGTGGGCTGGAGCCGAGGGACCGTGGTCAGTTGGGGTGACCATCCTGCATCCTGACCCCACGGACTGTCCTTCAGGGTCAAACCAGCCATCTTTGACCTGCTGCTGGCCGTGTGCATTGGGGCATACCTAGGCATGGCGTACACAGCTGTCCAGGTGAGTTGCCGTGCAGGGAACCTGGGGGGCAAGGTGGCTCTCTGGTGTCCCTGTCCCCTAATGTGCTGTGTCCCCCACCAGCACTTCCACGTGCTATACAAGACTGTGCAGAGACTGCTGCTCAAAGCCAAGGCCCAGTGACGACGGCTGTGAACAGGCGGCCCAGGAGGGACCGGCCCACGCGTGGCCACCCACGCGACTGGACTGAACCAGAGTTCACTAGGATGCAGGGACCTCATCCGGTCTCCTGAACTACCTTGGTGGAGAACCCCACCCACCTGCAGATGAGCCCAATGGGACAGATGGCCGCCCAGGCCACATGCACTGAAGGGCCACACGCTTGGCTGGGTCCCAGCAGCCTGCCCCCTCCCTTTCCTGTGGCCCATGAGAGGTGCCCACCACCAGGCCACCTCTCGTGGCGCTGGCTAGCACCCAACTATGGCTTCCTGCTCTTCTCAGCCTACCTTTCCCTCTGCCTGTTGCCATCTCAGCCACCACTGGACCCACCTGGTTCTCCAGCTGGGCCTGAGCCACCTGAGGTTCCAGTTTCGTCCCTTTCTCTCCTGCAAGTGTCCCTCCACCCAGTCCAGGTGCTGGGGACAGGGCAGGAGGCGGCCCTGGGTAGCAGCCTGCAGCCCTGAGGTCTCTCCACCTCCACCTCCCCCCTTCAGTTTCCCTGCCTGTGATGAATTCTGCGGACCCAGCCCCTCTCACAGTGTGGGATGAAACAGTCAGGCCCAGCACACCCTAGGCGTCCCTGCCAACAGGAGGGAGAGGGGGGAGGACGTTAGCTCTGGCAGTCAACCTCAGGGACCCCATGGGCAATCGATTCGATAGCAATATGACCCAGGAGGTGTCAGGCCGGGACGGGCAGCTGGGGCCAGCGCCTGGCATCCCTCCAGCACCTGTGGAGGCCTGGCCCACCCAGACCCTCTGCTCTGCTCTGCCTCACGGCAGCGGTGGCCATCACCCCGGTGGCACTTGTGTCATAGGGCAAGAGGGGCCAGCCTGCCACCTGGCCCTAGGCACTCTCGCCCCCACCCCTCCCCCCATGGACTGCTGGGGTCCAGCCCTCTTCACTCTCATCCCAGTGGCTGGTTACGGGTCTGAGGCCAGTGCCGCCTTCACTGGCAAAGACACAAGGTGCATGTGCCACCTCCCTCCGCTCAGGCAGGGCTGGGGCCGGCAGTTGGGCCTGCAGTTGGTGGGTTAGAAAATAAAAGCCATATTGAAGGACCACACCTGTGGGTGCCCCTGCCTTCAGGAACCTGAGTTCCCACTGGGCTTATGGGAGCATCAGCCCAGTGCCCTGCTGGCCACCATAGCCCCTTCCTTCCCACCCTGACAACTGCTTCCTCTCACTGTTTAAGTTTTCAGAGGACGAGAATTGGGGACATGTCACATGGGACAGGAGCCATCACTGCAAAGTCTGCCCCTGCCAAACTCACACCAGGGCCCAGCTGCTCACCCAGGCTCTGCCCATCACTCAAGTTCCTATCTTGTAGTCAGTCAACAAACCCCAGCTCAGCTACTGCTGATGGCTTGGGTCCTGTCCACTCAACATGGAATGGACGGTTGCTCACATCTGGCTGTTGAGGGAAACGGACCCAGGTTGCCTGCAGAGGCACAGACCAGCAGACTGCGGGGGTCTGTCTGGGTTCAGGCAAAGGCACTGGGGCTGGTGTGATGGGGCAGCTTAGTGCTGTGGTCCTGAGCCCCAAAGGGGAGGGGAGCTATGACACCCTGACTGCTGAACTGGGGGGCCGTGGGGCTGAGCAGCTGTGAGTGTGCACCGAGTTCGGGGTTTCTGCCTCTGCAGGGTCGGGCTCCAGAGGCCTCCACTTGCAAGTGTCCCTGGATGTGCATGCCTGCTTGCTGGGGTGACCACCACAGGTCACTGTCTCCTTCCCTGCGGGTCCTGGGGATGGAACTCAGGTTGTCGGGAATGGCAGCAAGCACCCTCACCCACAGAGCCCTCTGGCCAGCCCTCTGGGGTTCCATGTGACTGCCATGCCAACTGTTTAATGTGGGCGCTGGGGGATCCAAACTCGGGTCACTGTGGCAGCCACCAGCTCCCCAACTTCTGCTTCTGAGGGAGGGTATCATTGCAGTCTCTGGCATCGTGGCAATCCTCCTGCCTCAGCTTTCTTTTTTTAAAAAAATTTATTTATTATGTATACAATATTTTGTCTGTGTGTCTGCCTGCAGGCCAGAAGAGGGCATCAGATCTCATTTCAGATGGCTGTGAGTCACCATGTGGTTGCTGGGAATTGAACTCAGGACCTCTGGAAGAGCAGGCAGTGCTCTTAACCGCTGAGCCATCTCTCCAGCCCCTGGCTCAGCTTTCTAAGACAGATCTGCACCTGTTTACAGCTGCTTTTAGATAGTGACTTATAGGCTGGGCATGGTGGGGGAAGTAGGATCAGTTCTGGATCATCCTTGGCTACACAGTAAATATGGGACCAGCCTGGGCTACATGAGACCTTGCTTCAAAAACTAAATAGCAAAGAGGTTGTAAATCAGTGCCATCTGTGGCATCCACAGATGCCTATGCTGTGCCAGGCAGGTTGGGACTGGTGGTGTGGGTGCTGGTACTCGTTCCTCCCCCAGCCCTGGGAGGAGAAGCCCCTCCCATGCCCTCAATGCCCTGCTGCTGGAGACTCTGCCCTCAGGTAACCTTTGCTGTCATAATGGGTGAGGGGCTCCCAGTGCCAAGTGGATGTGGGTCAGGTGCTCAGACCCCAGAGAACGGGTCAGCCCTGGATCTAGGCAACTGAAGCTGAGGTGAGTTCCAGAACAGCCCACTCACCTGAGCAGACACAAAGGCCAGGGCAAGATGATGGGACGCCCCTGTTTTTCTGATTGCCTGTCTCCCCTGGACCAGCAGCCACAGTTTCCTGCCACATAGCTATGGTGACATCACCTGTAGGGATTGGAGGTGTCAGGGACGGAGTCCCCAAACAGTTGCTATTACAGGGCTAACGTGGTACCAGCTGGCCTGCCTCCTGTCGGCTCCCATCCATGTGTTTTGGGACTGAAGTGGCTCAAGTTTGTTACTCCAGGACTGATGCTGAGGCAGGTGGATGACAGCTGTGGGGCAGATGGCAGAACCCCGCCTTCGGCCCGCATCCCTGGCTCTCCAGAGGCCTGGTCTTCCCTCCCTCCCATTCTATTTAACAATTCTTGCAACTCAGAGCTCCACAGGGACTCCTGGCATCCTTCTCTGGTCTCCATGGAAACAGCTCATCTGAGAACCAGCCTCAGCATCTCTCAGCCTCTCCTACTTCTGGGAGGTGACCCCTGACCCCAGGGCCTTGCCTCGGGGGGGCCCCCCCCCCTGTCCAGTATGATGGTAGCGGTTTTCCATGACTGTGAAGCCAAGTCCCCAAGGAGCCTGTCCCTTCTCCTGCTGGTGTCCATAGCAGCTGAGGGAGTGGAGGCACAGCTGCCTGGACTGTGGGACGACAGAAGAGACATGGGAGCATCTGGGCTTCCAGAGCTGGCCTTAGACTCCACACCTGCTGTGTGACCTTGCACAAAGGATCAACTACTCTGGGCCTCCATTCTGTTCTTTAAAACAAATTGTAGGGGGCTGGACAGACAGCTCAGTGGTTAGTGCACAAACTGCCCCTGCAGAGTACCCAGGTTTGGTTCCCAGCACCCACAACCACACACACATGTGCACAGTCATGTAGGCAACACTCCTGCACACAGGTAAATCCTTTAACAAAAACAAATTATAACCAGGCAGTGGTGGCGCACACCTTTAATTCCAGCACTTGGGAGGCAGAGGAGGCAGATCTCTGTGAATTTGAGATCAGCCTGGGCTACAGAGCGAGTCCCAGGGCAGCCAGGGCTACACAGAGAAACGCTGTCTTGCAGCACGAATAAAAACCCGGAGTCAGATATTGGGAAAACCAGAAAAACAAAGCAGCCAAGCCACTAGAGAAGTCTTACGTCTACCAAGGCTGGGTGACCAGAAACTAAGCAGTCAGCCTCTCTCTCCTCCCATTCTATATTCCCCCTAGTGCTGGGATTAAGGACATATGGCTCCCTAGTGCTGGGATTAAAGGTGGGACCCACCACCTGGATCTGTTTCTGCACTGATCTTGTGTAGCCCAGGGTGGCCTTGAACTCGCAGAGGTCCATCTGACTCTGTCTCCCAGATCCTGGGATTAAAGGTGTGTGCTACCACTGCCTGGCCTATAGTGGCTTTAGCTTTGCCTCTGGTCTTCAGGCAGGATTTATTTATCAAAATGCAAATAATAGACCAGTACACTGTCTCAGAATAAAAAATATAGGAATAAGACTTGTCTATTTAATTATTTTATTTATTTGAAACACTGTCTCACACGTATGCTAGGCTAGCCTCCAATTCTCTATTTGGCCAAGGATAACCTTGAACCCCTAATCCTCTTGCCTTTATCTCCTCTAGGGGAAAAACAAACCAAACTCATCAACACAGAGGATCTTTTATTGCAATAGTTAAAATGAACACACGAAAAGTGTGCAATGGCTAAAATAGCACCTATTTGTTTTTGAAATAGGTCTCTAACATAGCCCGGCTGCCCTGAAACTTGCCCTGTAGCCCAGGCTGGCCTCGAACTCACAGAGATCCCCCTGCCTCTGCCTCCCGAATGCTGGGATTAAAGGCGTGGCCACCACTGCTTGGCAAATATCATTTTAACTATACACAGCATGGGCACAGGCGTCTGTGGCACTAGGAACGTCAATTTAAAATAAAAATATGAGCTGAACAGACATGGCGGTGCAGGCCTGTCGTCCCGGCCTACGCGTCCACTTCTTTCCTTGAATGACCTGCCGGCTTCTCTGCCCTCCTTCGCTGTCATCCCCTGACCCTCTTTGGGCCTTTGTGTCCACGTCACTGGCTAGCTCCCATTATTCACCCGCTGTTTGCAGAGCCACCTTCCCTATCCGTGGCTGCTCGTTTTGTCTTGACAAGGCTCTTACCATGTAGCCCAAGCTAACCGGGAACTCCAGATCCTCCTGCCTCAGTCTCCCCAGGATACCTGGCTGCGGGACTGGCCTCATGGCTGTTGGTCACCGACACATTAAGGATTCCAAGACCAGCGCGGGGAGACCTGTCAGTCTTTCCGATGTGCAATTCCAACCTGCAGCTCCCTCCCACCCTTCACCCTTCACTTCCTTTTACACCACCCACCCCCTCCTCGCACCTCCAAGACATCTGGGCCTCAGTTTCCCTACGGCGGACCCCGCCCGTCCCCTGCAGTTTTCGCGGCAGCCGCGGGGGCCGCTGTGGCGCAGTCGCGCGCAGGCGGGGCTGCTGACCGAACGACGCGGCTGCACCGCAGCTCCTGC